AGATAAGCTGGCTTAAGCCTGAATACTAATTTCATGAGCGACTACCACGCATAAAACATATTCCTGCGGAGGGAGCTGGTAGGAACGTTGGTTTGCTTGGTCAATGGCCAGGGTCAACGGCGGCGTGGTGTATTCCGCAAATATGCCCGACTGTGAGAGCGGGCACAAGCCGGCGTGAGTAGGTTAAACGTTGAGTTTTATAAGGGCACCACGGGGTGACCAGCCCCTCCCCACCCAGCCCCACCCCTCCCACCCCCCACCCAGCCCCACCCTTCCCACCCAGCCCCTCCCCACCCTCCCCACCTAGCCCCTCCCCACCCTCCCCACCCAGCCTTCCCCACCCTCCCCTCCCCACCCAGCCCATCCCTCCCCACCCAGCCCCTCCTTGCACGACGGACGGACACAATAATCCCCTGTGGGCTGGTGTAACCAGGTTCCTACCAGTAACAGATGTTGTAAGTTGCCGCAGTACGACAATGTGTATGCTTGCACACCTTCACCAACCGACACTGACCAGCGTGGTGAAGTATGGTCATATAACCTCCATGACCTTGTATGGCAACGGGGGAGGTCTTTATCTAGCCGTGGATTGACAAAATGTGCTCTCCATGCACATGATAAGAATGTTCAAATGTGTCAATTTTTGACGGAACACTATATGCACGTTTGTATTCATGGTATCCTGTTGAAAAATATATTTGCATGACCTCTGACTTCTGTGGCAGCAGCAATTCCTGTGGGGGATACACAACATTGAATTGCTTACATTATTTCACTCATTAATGTCAGCAACGCTCAAAATATTTTTTTTAGAATTGCCAAAGCTCTGGTCGTCTCTGCAATTAAATTGGGTCACAGTCCAATGCGTTCAGTCAAGATCATGAATATATTACCACAATAACTTTCCAAGCTACGTCCATTTGTCATCAATTATGGTTATAAACCTGGGCAGAGTAATGATTTTTTTAAACGTGTTAACAAAATTGTGTCGTAAAACTTGGCTGTAAATGTCTATTGCAATGCATCTCTGTGATGGTTTTTTTTTTTTGCTTATAAATATACGTTTCAACAAGCAAGCATATTTCAAAAGTGACCTTGTTCATTGTCACGTCTGTGTAAATCTATAAACGCGTATAAATCCCTTAGCAAAATGCAGGGGTTCTAAATGTAAACACTGTACCCTATATTCTTCAAGGTTCATTTGGAAATCAGTGATGCCTCCTGCCAAGAAAATCAATAATCACGTGAAAGTCGTTATGATCAAATGTGAATGTGGCAATAACAGCAATTATTGATATTTTTATCACCATCATCATCATGGCTTGGCTTCGCGAACGAAGATCTAGGAAGGACATCCATGTCTTCTGCAGGCACGCTGGTGGCTGACGAGGCCTATGCGGGACAGGCAGGTCCTGCCACAACGGCTGCAAGTATAGGTCTGATCTGGGATGGGTGCTGAGGGATCATGGTTCTTCCTCCTTCTCCTTTAGTCCTCCATACGGGCCCTGCGGGTATCTTCGAAGAAGGAGGTGGCCTGGTGGACTGTGTGCCGCCAGGAGTTGCGATCAGCTGCTTGTGTTGCTCACTGACGGTGATCGATGCAGCAAGCAGTGAAGCACTTCTTCAGGGAGTCTTTGTATCGCTTTCGTGGTGCCCCTATGTCGCGATGGCCAGAGGACAGTTCCCCATACAGCACAATCTTAGGTAAGCGGTGGTTCTCCATCCTGGCGATGTGCCCTGCCCAACAAAGTTATATCTTGAGGACCATGGCCTCGGATATTTTTATAGGTAGGAAGATTTTATACATTCCCATTAGAATGTCATATGTAGAGTAATATGTATACTGATTATAGTCTATGGCATATGACCATATCAGCCAGAATGTTCTTGATCTCATAAGATATCGGAAGATATGCAAAGTTGAGTCTGGATAGTGCTTGAATGGGTGACCACCATGCACAGATGTCGTTTTAGGCTATGGGGCTATGCGGTGGGCAGCAAAAATAATAATTGTACTTATATGCTCCCTGCCTTCATGACCTGCAATGGCTAGTGGGATGAAGTATGACCAAATTACCCACATCAGTGGATTGACATATTGCAGTGTTCTTCATTGCAAGGCCTGCGGGCCACTGGCGGCCCCTGTGGCCTTTAGTGGGGCCCCTGACGTGCGGCCCCTGACAATACACAAATGTGGAAATACCCCATAATGCTGTCACACCCAATGGTTTCAAATGTGTGGCGGCCCTCACATTGATGTCTTATGACCGAAAGTGGCCTAACATAAGGGCTGTATACATGTGTAGTGAAGTACTCACACGGACACTCCAAGCTTGTCTCCCGTGTCACTTTATTTACCTTGCATCCAGTGTGCATGCTCCTCACTTACACTAACACACACACCCTTGTTGCGAACTCCATCTCTCGCCTCTCCGGCGTCGACCACGTGTTCCAGCGCTTGCACCTGTTCGTCCCCAAATGCACCCGCTTAATTAATGCTTCTCCCCCTTATTGCTGCCGCCTCTCCGGCGCCTAAGCCATGTCTCGACGCTTGCACCTGTTCGTCCCCAAATGCACCCGCTCAATCACTGCTTCTCCCCGCTTACCTCTGCGCGACCTCAGTTGCAGCCTCTCTTTGCTAACCCCACGCGTTACGCCACGACACATGCGTAGTGTTGTAAATAAAGACGGACGACTTCTTGTCTTCTTCCCGGGCCACTTTATTACAGTCTGTTTTATAACACTCGTTTTAGTTATGCCGAGCATCCGCCGTCCGTCGCTCGTTCGCTCCCTTACTCGCCCCGTCCCTATCCTATTCTCTACTCTCCTTTTCTCACCCCTCTGAGCAGCCGTGTCTCACTGTCTCAGTGGGTCGACACCACGGCAGCCACGGCATTAAGCGTGCCGACGTACGGACGGCGCTCACGCCTTTAGCGTCCTACTCCTGGTCTGTACGGGGCCCGTGTCTCGCTGTCTCCGCTGGTTGATACCACGGTCCGGGGGTCAAGCGTGCCGACGTACGGACTGCGCTTGCCCCTAGCGACCCTATCCTAGCATACCCAGGTCCACACAGGACCACTCTCGCCAGAGAATACTCTAACTAGCTTGGCGGGTCCGGCTTCAGCTTCTCTTGTCTTCTGTCTTCATCATATCGCCCCTCGGGCTCGTTTTGCCCCTTCCAGAACATTCTCCAGAAGATCCCTCTATGATTGGCAGATACTGGTCTTTTGAATTTCACCTCCCCCCTTAATTACCCCAACGAATTACCCCAACGGTCATCCTGACCCTGGCTGCTCTCGACTTTCCCATGATGACGCTCACCAACCACCTCTTCTTGGCTGCCGTGCGGACATGCAGCCGTTATCGAATATTCCCGCGTTGAACCACTACACATGTAATAGGTCGCAGTTATAAATCACATTATCTTCAATTGGATATTAGTTGAATTTATACAATTACACAACACGCAGACAAAACACAATTTCGTTTATTTGCAGCTCTATTTACGAGCAGTACTTCACACAGAAAATCAGGTCTAACGATCTCATCGCTCTTTCATCGGCACATTAGTGAATGCTATTTCGCACATTTCAAAAATCCTAGCTCATGTTTCCAAAGAGTAGTTCATCTTTACGCTGCATTTTCTAAGATGCAATCCCCTGGAATGCACCAAGTTTCATCAGATCTTGGAAGCTAAGCAGGGCGGACCCTGGCTAGTGTTTGAATGGATGTCCATCGTGCATAAAACGGGTGGTATGGGCTGCAGGGTTACCTTCTCAGAAAGGGCCAATGCAACACAATCCATTGTTGTTACTGTATAATGCTCCAATGTGTCTGGTCCCCACATTCACCAACTCGAACTGATCAGCATGGTATGACCGAATAATCCTCCACGCTCCTCACAGCATGGGGAGGCCGTCATCCAGCAGTGCATTGAGAAATGGCCTTACATGTTAATTGCCTTAAAAATCCACTGCGTGATGCAACTTTCATACACATTTATAATGTTTTTGTAGAATTCATATTAGGCATGTAATGATGCTTCATTTAAACAGTTGATTTTTTTATGCTCACAATACATGCATTGGATAATGTGAGAATCGATTATTTTAAGAAATTATCATCATCAGCCATGATCAATCCACTGCTGAGTGACGGTCTTCCTGAGCCGTCACCATTGTCAGCATAAACATCGTGTGATGTAAAACTGTCATCGATCATATGAGCTGATTGTATCACAATTTACGTAAATGTTTTATGAGTAGTATATGTAGGTTAATGGATTACATTTAGGATAACAAAATTGTACAGATGTGGTGAGAAATAGAGAACATTACATGTGAGATAGTAAAATTAGAAACATTTATTGTTGATTTAAACTGGGACCCTGCATCATGAAAATTCATAAAATCGTTAGGGGAGTGAAGAGTTAACTAATGAATTTGTATGCAAATTACTACAAAACAGTACACGAGCATATAAGCGGTAAAGCATGTTTTGTATTTTACTATAATTTATAGCTTCGGTTAAGCATGTGTGTAAAATTAGCAATTTCTTAGCATAATACTTTGACGTAAAAAATTAAATGCTTTCGATCAATTTGATTGGTTTAATCGCCTTAGGAAATTGTGTAATGGTGTGTGAATAGTTCTTACGGTTTGACAGATTGCATACACATTACTTGTTAGCAGTCTCACAGAGGTCAAAATACCCGGTCGCTCGACTCAGTCAAGTGGCCAGCTCAAATTCGTTAAGTGCAATTGTTAACCACACATGCCCCAGTTAATTTTGACACCATACTCAGCTGTTAATAAATTCAATTAATTTCAATTATACTTCTCTTTATTTTACTTTGGGGGGAACGAACTCCCAACGATGGCTATAACAGTACGTAAACCCAGCAGAATTCGTTTTTAACCGGCCGCACCCCTGCTATTGAAGAGGAAGAATTGGTGAACGGCTGTCAAGGGGATGGCGATTGGCGGAAGACTTGCAGGTGCTCAGGCGAAGAGGAAGTCCACGATTTGACTACACGTTACACATAAAACATCGAACGGGATCAAGTACAGTTGAAAGGTGCAGCGACCTGCGGAAAGCAGCGGAAAGGCTGCTGCAAGGAGATATCAGTGGAGGGAAAGAGTCCAAAAGGCCATGGGACTGGAATAAGAAGACACACTGCTGATGAGATGCGTACTTAAAAGTACTGATGGAAAACATTGGACGAGAGGGGACGTTTGGCTGATGGCCCTAAAAGTGATTTTTTTTTGGCAATGAAACAGACTCTTGACTGTTTAATTATTTACATTCCCACACGCTGGTCTTGGCACTTTTCTAAATATATGTTGTTATCCAAGTGTAGACGATGCCAATGTATTTTCAACCTCTGTGATTAAACGTATTAATTAGATTTTTATGTTGGTATTGACGGCAGAATATATATGTTAGAGGCAGCCTAATTTTGTTTACGGTGCAATAAATTGGTCATTGAATAACGATTTGAACAGATGCAATGTAAAATAAATATCAATGACATTGCTTTATAATCTACCACTGTATGTGAAATGTATCATACTGGTAGGAATCCACTGGTTCCACCAGCCCACAGGGGATTATTGTGTCCGTCCGTTCGTCGTGCAGGTAGGGGCTGGGTGGGGAGGGAGGGTGGGGAGGGGCTGGGTGGGGAGGGTGGGGCTGGGTGGGGGTGGAGGGGTGGGGCTGGGTGGGGAGGGGCTGGTCACCCCGTGGTGCCCTTATAAAACTCAACGTTTAACCTACTCACGCCAGTTGTGCCCGCCCTCACAGTCGGGCATATTTGCGGAATACACCACGCCGCCGTTGACCCTGCAGGCCATTGACCGAGCAACCCAACGTTCCTATCAGCTCCCTCCGCAGGAATGTGTTTGTATACAGGCTACTATATTTCTAATTGCACACACTGTAATTGATTCTCATTGAACGTGTAATAAATATTTCCAGGTTTAATTTCCACAAACAAGAATAGTGGGTGAAGTGGAGCAAGTGGTTAACACGTTGTGCTATGAGCCTGGCTACCTGAGTTCGATTCCCAGCCAACAGCTAACATTAGTGGTCAGGGATACATGAATCGGTTTGATTCTAGGCTCCGCTGCATGAACCCACACTGACTGTTGTGGTCAATTATGGTCAAACATTCCCCGTGACCAACATGGTTTGTGGAGATCTTCATCGAGCAGTGGATTGGCATAGGACAGTAAATTAGTATGACAGTGATTATGTAATACATAGCAGGGTAAGCATTGTAATACAGTAATAAAACGGTAAATGTTAAAATACCATTATTTAATACAAACAATAACTGCTGGATTGTTTAAAATCATCTGACCAACACCCTTGATATTGACATCTTGTATTAAAAAGAGAAATCTGGATCAAATAATCCTGAATGCACTGTTAATATTTAACAGATGCAGTACTTGAAAGTCTATCACCACCACATCAGAGGAGTCAACGCTAAAGTTCAAAGCTTCGTGACACCCCTGTTAATAAAAAAAATAACTCCTCAAAGGTTGCTGTCTGTTCTTGATCGGTACGGGAACGATACAGGACATCCGCGATTAAGAGGAGGATATTTCAGTTGTCCGCGTGGGGTCGGCTGCAGCGTCATTGGGCCATCTTTGACCTCTGTCCTGTCGGGTCACGATCCAGGTTGCTCCACCTGATCTCCTTGGCTCACGATGGCTGCTCCTTCTCCTGCATGTATTGCTGCACCGCCCGGTGAATCGCCTTCTCCACAACTTGTTTGCTCACGCTCGCGAGCTCAGCATCGTCACCCGTGTCCTGCGTGCTCCATGCACCTGGAGTTCACAGTTTTATTTTTTTACAGGGTCGATGCCACGGCATTACGTCGCAGATAACATTTGTTGTTGTGCTGTAAACTCTATGCTCTCCACATCTATGCTCCACGCCTTCACCAACCCGCACTGGATCAGGCTTGGATGGGTGGCCACCATGTATAAAAACGGCACTTTACGCTGCTCCAAGGCTGCAGTGTCAGCAAGATCAACTCATTATTTGACTAATTATTTGGTGATGCTGCATTTCGAAGTGATGTGCACATGCACAACGCAACACATTGGTCAATAGCACCGTGGCCTTAACAGGAAAAAATGGCGGCAATTTGTCAGGAATGGCCCTTCTTCACAGCACATCATAGAGTACTATTAATACATTTATTTTTCATCATTTTACTCTACAATACTCCAGCATCAATGCAACACCCGCCTCCACCAAGCCGAACTGACCAATGTACTGAAGTATGGTCGAATAACTACCCTCCACGACCCAGCAGTAGGCTGACAAAAGGCCTGGCATAGAAGGGCAGAGTGGAGAGATGAAAGTGAACTGGCAGTCATCTTCTTGGTTCTTTCAGTAAAGTCACGTAGAAGAAAAAAAATAAAATAATAAAAATAAAACATAATAAAATAATTATCACTAACTTGTGTACAGGATGGATAGCAGACAGTATCCTTCCCATGTTTGACAAATTAATAAAATTATATTTTGACTCAATCTGTCAGCTGTGCGCAATGCTATCTGGTAGTGTGAATCCAATTAGCAAAGACAAGCAAACTCTGCACCAGCTTCAGTATCAGCAACCAGCTGCTTGAACCAATGCACCCATGCACTCACACCCACCAACCCATTTGCCCCCGTTTTGTTCCACACTCCCTGCCCGAGTGAGCAGCTCCTGGTAAGCTCAACCCCATAACACCCCCCCCTCCCCCCCAATAGGTTATGTAGCAAGTGACTCGAAGGGGAGACTTTGCAAAAGCAGTTTATTATTGCAGTGTGCAGACAACTACAGCAGCATCCATCACAACCACGTCTACATCCCTCACCGCAACTCAACCAACAATAGTTGCCATTCACTACTAAGTGGCAGTGACAGCACCTGTGCCAGGCCAGGTACACTAAGGCCATGAAGTGTTGAAGGCTCACCAACAGGTCATGGGACAGACCCAGGTGCCATGGGTTGACTGATTGGCAGATGGCACCAGCTGTGTCCCCTACTGTGCCAACTTGCTGTATTTTAGCCTCCTGGCACTCCGGTCGTTGTTTTGAGCATCACGGTAGCATCCTTCACGAGCCTCCTCCAAAAATGCCAATCATGACACCGTTGGCATTCCCACACACAATCCCATGGGAAGATGGAACATTCAGGTGTATAATGATCCGTGTAGAGATACCCTACCAAGTATACAGGAGACCTAATGCAGGCAACCTGTAAATACCAATGTAGCTGTCGCCGGGGTTAGTTTTGGCCTTTGACGGGTATGCTGTACACGGAAGTACTGCGTCATTGTCTGGTTGCGTGATGTCGGGTGGATGAGGCAGTCAGTGGCACCTCAACCTTTGCTGTGCTCGCATCTGGCAGACTCCCCGTGTCGCCTATTAACACTGTTGGGGCAAGTGCTGTTCGTGAGCGCCTATGAAGGCCGGAACTGCCAGCACCACGCCCGGCCGCCTTTGTCTCCCCATTGGTGACATTTACACATCGCACCAGGTACTCATTTAAGGCTGAGTCGACCTAGGGGAGGCACAGGGCCGATTCAGATAATCGTCACGGGGGTTAGGTGTGCGCGTCACCAGGTTCATGCCGTTACACTCGCTCCCCAGTCGTAGGAACAAAGGTCCACCCGCCTTAGAGCATTGATAAGTACAGTACTTCTACCTAGTATTGTTTAGGAATGTTTTTAGTCTCGGGTTTTTACACGTTTATTTAAATTAAGTTTTTTGTTTATTTGTCATACAGTACAGACATTATTTCAATTGCGATGAGTCTTTTTGGTTGCCGTGTGCCTAACCATTATGTAGGTTAAGGCTTCATTATTTTCGCTTTTGCGTCATTTTCCAAGAATGTAACCCCGTGATATTCAAGGGTCTCCTGTACAAGCAGAGACGTGAGTGAAGATGTAGAGTGATACATTTACATTGACATTTAAGATACCTAATACACATTTTTAGTAATCATTTACATATATCACATTTATTCTATTGTGAAGTGGCAAAACTGATTATCGATAACTAATTAGAAATAGACAGATTAAAGCAATTCACTTTAGGATATCCCATTGACTTTAATAACAAAAGAGACCTAATGAGAGAAAGACAGAGATCCGTTTACAGATACCACACGGATTGCTAATAACGAGAGAAACAGAACTGGAGATGCAGACCGGTAGTTGTCAAGTGATCGATCCATTTACAGATACCACACTTATTCTAGCATTAATTATAGACGCCGACATCATTAGAGACACAGCCATAGCCACAAAGAGAAGGACATGAAAGCAATTCATTTACAGATACCCTGCTGATTTCTCACGAATAACGCCATGAGACAGGAGAGACGTCGTATGACGATCCATTTGTATATGCCACGTGGATTTCTAACATACACGAGAGATGGGACAGTCTCTCTACGCTCAAGCAGACTTTTGCCCACTTCAACAATTGTCTCTTGCTGCGGTTGTCCCACCTGATGACGGACGCTTGTGTTGCGCCCGAAACGTCGTGATTTAATTCATTTTATTTTATACCTACGTGACTTTACCGAAAGAACCAAAGAGTATGGATCCCTGCAGTCACGAAAACTTCAAATCTAGATTAGTCTAGTCTCTCTCTTCCCCACTCCGCCCTCTCCTCCCCTCTACTCTACTCATCACCCAGTCGCCCTCTCTTTGCCTTTTTCTCCTCTGCCTCTCCCCTTCCCTTCGTAGAGGACGAGGAGGCGGCTGCTGGTTGAGAGGTGGTGGTGGCGTTGGTATGCCTGCGTCACCGTTGAAACGCCCTCTACGAAGCGCGTCTTGAAGAGCACGTTGGCGTTGTTGAACATCCCATCCTTGAGAGAGACCACCACGAACTGCACGGGGACAAAGAGAGACATGGAGGGGGGGGGCATGGGGAGAGCAAGATGGGGAGAGAGACATGGGGGAGACACACAGAAATGGAGGGGGGGGACAGACGGAGGGGGGGGGGAGAGATGGGGAGAGATAGCAGTGGGTCAAACCCATAGCACCTGGGGTCTGTCCCATGACCAACACCTAGCCTGGCACAGAAGTCCAGCCATAGTGCGGGTGAGGGATTATGCAGGCGAATGTACGGGTGAGTGGGTATACGGGTAAGCGTGCATGTGAGCGTATCTGCAAGGTGAAGAAGCGAGTGCACAACATGTGTCCGATGTTCTGGGTGTAGGAGTGAATGACTGAGTAGGTGTGTGGGCGAGTGCGAAACGTGGACCCCTCTAATGGAACATTTGCACTAGTTAGAAACATTCAGACCGGCCTGCCTACAATCCATTCTGTGTTTAACAAGGCTGGATTATGTGAGCAGCTCTCAAATCCTTGAAAGATCTGGACACATTCCCATCAGTGAGCTCCGGTGGTCAAGGCTGCATTGGCTGGGTTATGGAGCCCGCATGCCCAGCCACCGCATGGCAAAGTTGCTTCTATTTGGCTGCATAGAGAGGGCTAAACGGGCACGACACGGGCTGAAAAAGACATGGAGTGATGAGGTACGGGAGGATGTGCAGCTGGGTAGACTTGCTGAAGTGCTGTTAAGATCGGCCTCTGTGGAGGATGCTTGTGAAGAATGCTACTGGGCAGTTGGAGGTAGTCACCCTCCAACAACAGAGGAGAGCAGAGGAGCAACCCTCACAACAATGAGCCGAGTGCTGGGCAGCTAAATTACAGCACTTTGGCACAGTAGGGGGTAGAGCTGGTACATCTGCCAGTCATCTCAAGTCAATCAATCGATCTTATTTTATGTGCCAATATCGCCCTCAAAGAAGTAGGCATCAGTGCTCATAACATCAGAACAGGAACAGTACCGGGGGCCCAGGGCAACAGGAATGAAAAGAGAAACCCCGTCACAACCTCAGTGGCTAACACCGACTGAGCAAAGTAAATTGCAACCGTGCACAACCAATGGCACCTGCCTCTGTCCCGTGACCTATTGCCGAGCCTTTGACACTTCACGAGGCTTCAGAGTGCATCTGGCCTGACAAGCGCTGTGGCGACGTCACCGCCGCTTAGTGGCGAATGGCGTCTGTTGTTGTTGTGTGTGCGAGTACCTGCGAGTCTTCATAGATGCCTGTACCACTGGGGCCTCCAGCAAAAGCTCAGACAGATATTTCTCACGTAATTTAGTGGTAAATGAATTGAAGGTGGAGGGGTTACCAGCCGATTGCATCCATCCAGAGCCCCCATTGGCCACTGTAGTGGCTACAAGCACCATGAGGGGAAAAGCAACAACAAAAAGCGGAGCGCCGGGCGGCTAAAACACAGCAAGTTGGCACAGGAAGGGGCATGCAGGTGGTGCATCTGCCAGTCATCTCAGTCAACCCATAGCACCTGGCTCCGTCCTGTGATCTCCTGCCAGCAGGCATTCCACAGTAATCGTGGCGTTAAAGTGCACGAAGCCTGGCACAAGCGCCATGGTGATGTCATCGCCACTTAATGGCGATTGGCAGCTGCTGCTGTTGTTGTACCTGCGAGGTGAGGAAGTGAGTGCGCAGCATGTGTCCGATGTTCTGGGTGTGGGAGAGGTCCAGGGCGGCGTCCACCTCGTCCAGGATGTAAATCGGAGCCGGCTTGAAGAGCAGCATGGCCAGGATCAGGGATAGGGCCACCAGTGACCTATCCAGCAGAGAGAGAGAGAGATACAAAGATAAACATAGAGAGAGATATGCCGAGAGGTAGCAGCATCGCCAGGATCAGAGAGCACCACCAGGGACCTGGATAGCACCGAGAAAAATACACAGATACACACATATATACACAACCGACAGGGACCCCTCCCTCACCTCTGGCCTCCGCTCAGCTCGCTCAGATTTTCCTTCCACACGGAGCCCAGAGCCACACGAAACTCCAAGCCTTGGAGCAGCGAGGAGGTGGAGGAGGTGGAGGAGGTGGAGGAAGAGGACTCCACGGGAGTGAGACGCGCCTGGGAGCCAGGCAGCAGCGTGGAGAATATGGAGCTGAAGTCTCCATTCACCTGGAAAGAGACGCACGCGGGCAGAGGGAGATGCATGCGGGGGGGGGGGGGGGGGGGAGAGGAGAGATGAGGGGAGAGAGACTGGTATGGTGGCGAGTGAATGGTGATTATGGTGGTGAATGGTGAACGTGGAACTTGCCTCTCGGCCAGGTGGAGGGCCTTGTTCTTATTGAGATCCAGCTCCTCCGTGGTAAGTGGGTGGTGAGTATAGTGAGTGAGTGCTTGGAGAGTATGGTGGTGAATGAGTGGTCAGCATGGGACCTGTCTCCAGGCCAGAGAGCCTTGTTATTATTGAGATCCAGCTCCTCCATGGTGAGCGAGTGGCGAGTGTGGTACCTGTCTCCAGGCCAGGTTAAGAGCCTCATTCTTCTTGAGATCCAGCTCCTGCATGGCGCTGAAGATCTTGGTTTTGTCGTTCTCCACGATCCGCTTCTTCCTCATCAGGTCCACGTACTGGGGTCATTGGGTCACACAGGATCAGAGTCTCAGGATCTGTCTCACTCTTCCCGTGTCTTCCTCGTCCCCCTCTCTCATCTCCCCCTCTCCCTGCCTCTCTCTCCCCGCCCCTGTCTCTCCCTCACCTTCTCCTCGGACTGGGCCAGCAGGTTCATGGCCCTCTCGTTAACGGTGTGCACCATCCGCCGGCGTGTCTGCTCCAGGCGCGATAGCTTCCGGGCAGCATCGCTTGGGTCGCTGGCGGCGAAGTCGTACGCCGTGTTGGGGCGGCCAAATAGAGCGCGCTCTGTGGAGATCCACGCATTCTCTTTGAGCAGACGATCCACCTAAGAGAGAGCGGGAGGAGAGAGAGGGGGTTAGTGGGGATTCAGGAGCGGCTGAGTGAATGGTCGAGTGGGTGAGTGAGTGATTGAGCGTGAGTGGGTGAGTGGTTGAGCGCGAGTGGTTGAGCGTGAGTGATTGAGTGAGCGGTTGAGCAAGCGGTTGAGCGAACGGTTGAGCAAGGGAGCGGTTGAGCAAACAAGCAGTTGAAAGAGCAGTTCAGCGAACGAGCGAGTAAGTGGTTAAGTGAGCAGTTGAGTGAGTGGTTGAGCGAGTGAGTGGGGGATGAAGTGGTTGAGTGAGTGAATGGTTGAGTGAATGAGTGGTTGAGTGAGTGAGTGGCGGGTACCTTGGCTGCGTTGTCCAGGGCGTCCCGCTGGTGTCGCCCCACTGCGTGCCCGCGCTCTGTCAGGGTGAGAGCGGCAGCGCCGCGCTGCGCCCGCAGCTGTTCCAGCGCCCGCGCCGCCTCCCCCAGCGCCTCCTGGCGGGTACGCAGCATCTCCTGGAGCTCCGTCACGTGGCGCTGGCACTCGGAGACACGCGCCTGTGGCACACAGGCAGAAGAAGAGACACGGGGGTGGATTAGGGCGACTCGGGTGGCAAGATGTTAACTACCTCGCCCAGTATACAGGAGGTTGTGGGTTTGATGGAATTCGCATGTCTCTCTCCCAGTGGTCGCGTGGATTTTTCTCCGGGTCCTCTGGTTCTTCCTTCCACATTTAGAAATATGCATTGAGTATTTGGCTACTATAAATTTCCACATAATAAGCCACTGCATTGGGGTATAATTCTTTGGCCAGGTCACGTCTGAAAAAATCTCAGTGGGCCTTTCCAGGTAAAAAAAAAAAGTGATTGGGTAGGTGAGTATGTGGGAAGGTGAGTGGGTGGGTAGGCGAGTGAGCAGGTAGATACCTGCAAGCTCTCAGCAGAGGCGCTGAGCTCCCGGACGGTCTCCTCCAGCGAGAGCGTGGCCGCCTCCAGCCTCTGCAGCTCCTGCTGCCCCACCAGCGCCTCCTTCTCGAGCTCCTCCACCTCCAGCCTGACAGTGGACAGACACTGGCAAGGGGGGGGGGGGTTCGAGTTCACTCACTCAATGACCCACTTAATTCACCCAATCACCCTCATAAAGCTCATGCACCATCTGCTCGCTTACTCTCACACTCGTGCATTAATTCACCCATCCATCAATTGACCTACCCACCCTCCCACTCATTAATTCACCCAACTCACCTACCCATCACCTAATTTACCCACCCAACCACTCCCTCAACCTGCCACCCACCCCCTCACCACCACCTCACCTGCTGTGCCTCCCTGGCGATCCCCGCTAGCTTCTGGGCTGTCCCCCGTGCCAACTCGAGGGCGCTAGAGGCCCCCTCCTGCTCGTGGCGCCGGTCCCATTCGGCGTTCTGGAGTCGCTCCTCCAGGGAGTGGAGGCGCTGCAACGCGGCCGCTCTCCGCTCCTCGCAGAGAGCAGGCGCCGCACTCAGCTCCTCTACAGAGAGGGAGAGAGAAGGGAGAGAGGGGGTGGGGAAAGGAAAAAAGAGGGGGAGAGACGCACAGAGTGGGTAAAGGTGAAAAAGACACTGCTAAAGAGAAACAGGAGAGAGAGGGAAAACGAGAGAGGGTGAGAGAGAGAGTGACACACGGAGAGCAACAGAGATGGGCAGAGAGAGACACACACGGAGAGACATGGAGAGTCGGAGCGGAGACCCGGGGAGATATAGGGAGGGAAGGAGGGAGGATACAGGGATACAGGGAGAGAGAGAGAGACACACATTGTTCTCTCCTCACCTCCTCTACACGGAAAGGGAGACGGGGGAAAAAGCGGACAAAGAGAGGGAGAAAGAGACACGTGGAGAGAGAGAGTGAGATGTATAGCGAGAGACACAGATTTGGGGAGAGGGGGAGGAAGCAGCTCACCGATGAAAGTGTTGAGTGGGGAGGCGAGTGGCTCACCGATGGAGGTGGTGAGCGCGGTGAGCTCCGTCTGGAGCTTGTGGTGACTGCTGAGCTCCAGCTTCTGGTGGTGAGTGTCTGGGTGAGTGTCTGGGTGAGTGTCTGGGTGAGTGTCTGGGTGAGTGTCTGGGTGAGTGTCTGGGTGAGTGGATGGGTGAGTGGATGGGTGAGTGGATGGGTGAGTGTCTGGGTGAGTGTCTGGGTGAGTGTCTGGGTGAGTGTCTGGGTGAGTGTCTGGGTGAGTGTCTGGGTGAGTGTCTGGGTGAGTGTCTGGGTGAGTGTCTGGGTGAGTGGGGAGGCGAGTGGCTCACCGATGGAGGTGGTGAGCGCGGTGAGCTCCGTCTGGAGCTTGTGGTGACTGCTGAGCTCCAGCTTCTGGTGGTGAGTGTCTGGGTGAGTGTCTGGGTGAGTGTCTGGGTGAGTGGATGGTGAGTGTCTGGGTGAGTGTCTGGGTGAGTGGATGGTGAGTGTCTGGGTGAGTGGATGGGTGAGTGGCTCACCGATGGAGGTGGTGAGCGCGATGAGCTCTGTCTGGAGCTTGTGGTGACTGCTGATCTCCAGCTTCTGGTGGTGAGTGTCTGGGTGAGTGTCTGGGTGAGTGGATGGTGAGTGTCTGGGTGAGTGTCTGGGTGAGTGGATGATGAGTGTCTGGGTGAGTGTCTGGGTGAGTGGATGGTGAGTGTCTGGGTGAGTGGATGGTGAGTGTCTGGGTGAGTGTCTGGGTGAGTGGATGGGTGAGTGTCTGGGTGAGTGTCTGGGTGAGTGTCTGGGTGAGTGGATGGTGAGTGTCTGGGTGAGTGTCTGGGTGAGTGTCTGGGTGAGTGGATGGTGAGTGTCTGGGTGAGTGTCTGGGTGAGTGGATGGTGAGTGTCTGGGTGAGTGGATGGGTGAGTGTCTGGGTGAGTGGGGAGGCGAGTGGCTCATCGATGGAGGTGGTGAGCGCGGCGAGCTCTGTCTGGCGCTTGTGGTGAGTGCTGATCTCCAGCTTCTGGTGGTGAGTGTCTGGGTGAGTGTCTGGGTGAGTGGATGGTGAGTGTTTGGGTGAGTGGATGGTGAGTGTCTGGGTGAGTGTCTGGGTGAGTGGATGGGTGAGTGTCTGGGTGAGTGTCTGGGTGAGTGTCTGGGTGAGTGGATGGTGAGTGTCTGGGTGAGTGTCTGGGTGAGTGGATGGTGATGTCTGGTGAGTGGATGGTGATGTCTGGGTGTCTGGGTGAGTGGATGGTGAATGTCTGGGTGAGTGTCTGGGTGAGTGTCTGGGTGAGTGTCTGGGTGAGTGGATGGTGAGTGTCTGGTGAGTGGATGGTGAGTGTCTGGGTGAGTGTCTGGGTGAGTGGATGGTGAGTGTCTGGGGAGTGTCTGGGTGAGTGTCTGGGTGAGTGTCTGGGTGAGTGGGTGAGTGTCTGGGTGAGTGTCTGGGTGAGAGTCTGGGTGAGTGTCTGGGTGAGTGGGTGAGTGTCTGGGTGAGTGTCTGGGTGAGTGGCTGGGTGAGTGTCTGGGTGAGTGTCTGGGTGAGTGTCTGGGTGAGTGGATGGTGAGTGTCTGGGTGAGTGTCTGGGTGAGTGTCTGGGTGAGTGGATGGTGAGTGTCTGGGTGGTGGATGGTGAGTGTCTGGTGAGTGTCTGGGTGAGTGGATGGTGAGTGTCTGGTGAGTGTCTGGGTGATGTCTGGGTGAGTGGATGGGATGTCTGGGTGAGTGTCTGGGTGAGTGTCTGGTGAGTGTCTGGTGAGTGTCTGGTGCGTGGATGGTGAGTGTCTGCGTGAGTGTCTGGGTGAGTGGATGGTGAGTGTCTGGTGAGTGTCTGGGTGAGTGTCTGTGAGTGGATGGTGAGTGTCTGGGTGAGTGGATGGTGAGTGTCTGGGTGATGGATGTGAGTGTCTGGGTGAGTGTCAGGGTGAGTGTCTGGGTGAGTGTCTGGGTGAGTGTCTGGGTGAGTGGTGAGTGTCTGGGTGAGTGTCTGGGTGAGTGTCTGGGTGAGTGTCTGGGTGAGTGTCTGGATGTGAGTGGATTGATTGTCTGGTGAGTGTCTGGGTGAGTGGATGGTGAGTGTTGGGTGAGTGGATGTGGTGTCTGGGTGAGTGTCTGGTGAGTGGATGGTGAGTGGATGGTGAGTGTCTGGGTGAGTGAGTGTCTGGGTGAGTGTCCTGGGTGAGTGTCTGGGTGAGTGGATGTGAGTGTCTGGGTGAGTGTCTGCGTGAGTGTCTGGGTGAGTGTCTGGGTGAGTGGGTGAGTGTCTGGGTGAGTGGTCTGGTGAGTGTCTGGGTGAGTGTCTGGGTGAGTGGATGGGTGAGTGTCTGGGTGAGTGTCTGGTGAGTGTCTGGGTGAGTGGATGGGTGAGTGTCTGGGTGAGTGTCTGGGTAGTGTCTGGGTGAGTGGCTGGGTGAGTGGGAGGCGAGTGGCTCACCGATGGAGGTGGTGAGCGCGGTGAGCTCTGTCTGGAGCTTGTGGTGACTGCTGATCTCCAGCTTCTGGTGTGGGTCTGGGTGAGTGTCTGGGTGAGTGGATGGTAGTGTCTGGGTGAGTGTCTGGGTGAGTGGATGATGAGTGTCTGGGTGAGTGTCTGGGTGAGTGGATGGTGAGTGTCTGGGTGAGTGGATGGTGAGTGTCTGGGTGAGTGTCTGGGTGAGTGTCTGGGTGAGTGTCTGGGTGAGTGTGTGGGTGAGTGTCTGGGTGAGTGGGTGGTGAGTGTCTGGGTGAGTGTCTGGGTGAGTGTCTGGGTGAGTGGATGGTGAGTGTCTGGGTGAGTGTCTGGGTGAGTGGATGGTGAGTGTCTGGGTGAGTGTCTGGGTGGGTGGGGGCGAGTGGCTCATCGATGGAGGTGGTGAGCGCGGCGAGCTCTGTCTGGCGCTTGTGGTGAGTGCTGATCTCCAGCTTCTGGTGGTGGTGTCTGGTGAGTGTCTGGGTGAGTGGATGGTGAGTGTCTGGGTGAGTGGATGGTGAGTGTCTGGGTGAGTGTCTGGTGAGTGTCTGGGTGAGTGTCTGGGTGAGTGTCTGGGTGAGTGTCTGGGTGAGTGGATGGTGAGTGTCTGGGTGTGTCTGGGTGAGTGTCTGGGTGAGTGTCGGGTGGTGGGTGAGTGTCTGGGTGAGTGGGTGAGTGTCTGGGTGAGTGGATGGTGAGTGTCTGGGTGAGTGGATGGTGAATGTCTGGGTGAGTGTCTGGGTGAGTGGATGGTGAGTGTCTGGGTGAGTGGATGGTGAGTGTCTGGGTGAGTGTCTGGGTGAGTGGATGGTGAGTGTCTGGGTGAGTGTCTGGGTGAGTGTCTGGGTAAGTGTCTGGGTGAGTGTCTGGGTGAGTGGATGGTGAGTGTCTGCGTGAGTGTCTGGTGTGGATGGTGAGTGTCTGGGTGAGTGTCTGGGTGAGTGTCTGGGTGAGTGGATGGTGAGTGTCTGGGTGAGTGGATGGTGAGTGTCTGGGTGAGTGTCTGGGTGAGTGGATGGGGAGTGTCTGGGGGAGTGTCTGGGTGAGTGGATGGGTGAGTGGATGGTGAGTGGCTGGGTGAGTGGATGGGTGAGTGGATGGGTGAGTGTCTGGTGAGTGTCTGGGTGAGTGGATGGGTGAGTGTCTGGGTGAGTCTGGGTGAGTGTCTGGGTGAGTGTCTGGGTGAGTGGATGGTGAGTGGATGGTGAGTGGATGGTGAGTGTCTGGGTGAGTGTCTGGGTGAGTGTCTGGGTGAGTGTCTGGGTGAGTGTCTGGGTGAGTGGATGGGTGAGTGGATGGGTGAGTGTCTGGGTGAGTGGATGGGTGATGGATGGGTGAGTGTCTGGGTGAGTGTCTGGGTGAGTGTCTGGGTGAGTGTCTGGGTGAGTGGGTGAGTGTCTGGGTGAGTGTCTGGGTGAGTGTGGTCTGGGATGGATGGTGAGTGTCTGGGTGAGTGTCTGGGTGAGTGGATGTGAGTGTCTGGTGAGTGTCTGGGTGAGTGGGGAGGCGAGTGGCTCATCGATGGAGGTGGTGAGCGCGGCGAGCTCTGTCTGGCGCTTGTGGTGAGTGCTGATCTCCAGCTTCTGGTGGTGAGTGTCTGGTGAGTGTCTGGGTGAGTGGATGGTGAGTGTCTGGGTGAGTGGATGGTGAGTGTCTGGGTGAGTGTCTGGGTGAGTGTCTGGGTGAGTGTCTGGGTGAGTGTCTGGGTGAGTGTCTGGGTGAGTGGATGGTGAGTGTCTGGGTGAGTGTCTGGTGAGTGTCTGGGTGATGTCTGGGTGAGTGGGTGAGTGTCTGGGTGAGTGGGTGAGTGTCTGGTGAGTGGATGGTGAGTGTCTGGGTGAGTGGATGGTGAATGTCTGGGTGAGTGTCTGGGTGAGTGGATGGTGAGTGTCTGGGTGAGTGGATGGTGAGTGTCTGGGTGAGTGTCTGGGTGAGTGGATGGTGAGTGTCTGGTGAGTGTCTGGGTGAGTGTCTGGGTAAGTGTCTGGGTGAGTGTCTGGGTGAGTGGATGGTGAGTGTCTGCGTGAGTGTCTGGGTGAGTGGATGGTGTGTCTGGGTGAGTGTCTGGGTGAGTGTCTGGGTGAGTGGATGGTGAGTGTCTGGGTGAGTGGATGGTGAGTGTCCTGGGTGAGTGTCGGGGGGAGTGGATGGTGAGTGTCTGGGTGAGTGTCTGGGTGAGTGGATGGGTGAGTGGATGGGTGAGTGGCTGGGTGAGTGGATGGGTGAGTGGATGGGTGAGTGTCTGGGTGAGTGTCTGGGTGAGTGGATGGGTGAGTGTCTGGGTGAGTGTCTGGGTGAGTGTCTGGGTGAGTGTCTGGGTGAGTGGATGGTGAGTGGATGGTGAGTGGATGGTGAGTGTCTGGGTGAGTGTCTGGGTGAGTGTCTGGGTGAGTGTCTGGGTGAGTGTCTGGGTGAGTGGATGG